GGGGGTATATCACGGGCCCGTTTGCGCCCAGATTGGGGGGAATTCTCAGGCGGTTTGCCTGTTTCGGTGCCCAGCATCCTTCTCTTTCGGAACAGTTTTCGGCGCCCTGACAGGTGTTCAGAGGAAAAGAATGAGAAAGAGGAGGAGGAGGAGGAGGAGGACAAGGAGCAGGAGGAGGAGGAGGAGGAGGAGGAAATAAGGAGGAAGCAACTAATTAATGATACCAGAGAAAAACCCCAATCAGAATTTTTTGGGGGGGCTATGGGGCTTTAGGGCTTTAGGGCTATGGGGCTATAGGGCTATAGGGCGATGTGGCCATAGGGATATAGGGCTAGAAGCCTTTAGGGCTATGGGGCTATAGGGCTACAGGGCTACAGGGCTATAGGGCTAAGGGCTTTAGGACCATAGGGCTATAGGGCTATAGGGCTATAGGGCTATAGGGCTATAGGGCTACAGGGCTATAGGGCTATGGGGCTATGGGGCTATGGGGCTATTGGGCTATTGGGCTATAGGGCTATCGGAGGTGAGGGGGTGAGATCGAAGTGCAACGGCGAGCCCCCCACCGGCCCACCGGGAAATCGGTTTCGGTTTCGTGTTCGTGCGTGCCGTGCGTGCGAGGCGAAGCTGCGTGGGCGGGCGAGAAAAAGTCTCCTGTGGCTGAGGCGCGGCCGGACCAAATGTTTCTCATCCGGGGCGCGGGGCCCCGCGGTGTCCCGCCGGTGTCCCGCGGTGTCCCGCGTTGTCCCGCGGTGTCCCGCGGTGTCCCGCGGTGTCCCGCCGGTGTCCCGCGGTGTCCCGCGAGGATGATGATTATGATGAGATGATGATGATGATGATGATGATGATGATGATGATGATGATGATGATGATGATGATGATGATGATGGTGATGGTGATGGTGATGATGATGATGTTGATGATGATGATGTTGATGTTGATGTTGATGATGATGATATGATGATGATGGTGTCCCGATGATGATGATGATGATGATGATGATGATGATGATGATGATGATGATGATGGTGTCGATGATGATGATAGTGTCCCGATGATGAGGGTGATGATGCTCATGATGATTATGATAATGATGATGATGACGATGATGATGTCCCGATGATGATGATGATGATGATGATGATGATGATGATGATGATTCCGATGATGTTGGTGATGATGATGTTGATGGAAATGGTGTCCCGGCGATAATGATGTGGATGATGATGATGATGTTGATGATGAGAATGGTGTCCCGATGATGATGCTGATGATGATGCTGATGGTGATGATGATGATGGTGATGCTGATGGTGTCCCGATGATGATAATAATGATAATGGCGATGTTGATGATGATGTTGCTCATGATGATGGTGCCCCAATGATAATGATGTTGTTGATGATGATGATGTCGACGATGATGATGCGATGATCATGATGATGATGGTGTCCCGAGGATGATGGCGATGTTTATGATAATGTGGATGATAAGAACGATTGTGATCATGATGGTATCCCGATTATGATGATGATTATGATGATGCTGCTGATGATGATGACGATGACTGTGTCCCGATGATGATGATGGTGATGTTGATGACGAGATGATGATGGTGATGGTGATGATGTTGTCCCGATGATGATGCTGACGTTGATGATGATGTTTATGATGATGATGATGATGATGATGATGATGATGATGATGATGATGATGATGATGATGACGGTGCCTCATGATGATGACGATGTTGGTGATGATGTTGATGTTGATGATGTTGTTGATGATGATGATGATGACGTTGATTGTGAGAGTGAGTGTGATATCGATAGTGAGATCGATATTGAGACCGAATGTGAGATCGATTGTGTGATCGATTGTGAGATCGATTGTGAGATCAATTGTGAGATCGATCGCATGAGATAGATCGAGTGAGATCGATTGTGAGATCGATCGAGTGAGATCGATCGTGCGAGGCCGATAGTGAGATCGATACTGAGATCGATAGTGAGACCGATCGAGTGAGACGTTGGTTCCCCCCCCCGAACCTCCTTATCACCTGAAGGGTGGTCGTGTAGGTACGGCTATAGGGCTATATGGGTTATAGTGCTATAGGGATATATGGCGATTGGGCTATTGGGCTATAGGGATATAGGGCTATTGGGCTAGGCACCCCCGGGCACTTCTGGGCACCCCGGGCACCCGGGCACCCCTGGGCACCCGGGCACCCCCGGGCACCCCCGGGCACCCGGGCACCCGGCCCCGGCCACCGAAATCGGCCACACACCTGGGCACCCGGGCGCCCCTGGGAACCCCCGGGCACCCGGGCACCCGGCCCCGGCCACCGAAATCGGCCGCCCACCTCACCTCAGCTTTATATCCGCTAGGACCCCTACAGAGGCAAGCTCTGATTGGGGAAAATCGTCGTAGGCGTGGGCGTCTCTCTCGGCTTCGTCTTCCACATGAATGCGCTGACACTCAGATATTGAAAGGGACAATGCCTTCTACCGAAGCATGCCATCGCTATGAGATGCACATCTGGGGATCTCCGCGTCGAGTAATTTTCTGCCTTTCGCTGGGTTCCTGGAGGTTTTCTCGCCTCGGTGCGCCGTCCAGCAGCTGCGCCTCGCCGAGAGCTTCTCCGCGGGCGGCCGGATCGTCCCGAACGGCCGCCCTAGGTCAGAGGCATGTCCCGAAAGCCCCCCCTTCGCATTGTGAGACAATCACCAAGGACCACTTGCGGCCTCCGGGGGGCCTCGCTGGGCCCCAGGACCGTCAGAAAACGCCAGGATGACAAGCCAGTGCCAGGAACAACCATCCAATTCTGGAGAGACACGGCGGATGTTTGGGGAGGCAGGAAGGAGGAGGAGGAGGAGGAGGAGGAGGAGGAGGAGGAGGAGGAGGAGGAGGAGGAGGAGGAGGAGGAGGAGGAGGAGGAGAGGAGGAGGAGGAGGAGGAGGAGTAGGTAAGCCAGCTCGAGCGAGTCAAGCACGGCATGCCCATTCCCACCCGCCCTCCCACAACATAAGAAACAGTGCTGACGCAATTGGGGGCCGAAATCTGATCGGCAAGGTGGTTTGGCACAGCTGATGCAGCCACGATGGCGGTTACCGATGGGAAATTCCTGGCGCGTCTCAAAGGCTGCGCTGGCATTTTAGCTCGAGCCGAGGATGCCCCAGGAGGCCCCTGGAAGCCTCAGGAGGCCCCAGGAGGCCTCAGGAGGCCCCAGATGGCTGCAGGAAGCCCCAGTGAAACCCAAGAGGCCCTAGGAGGTCCCATGAGGCTTCAGGAAACCTTATGATGTGTCAGGAAGCCCTGGGGAATCTTAGGAAACGGGATGTTCCAGGAGGCCCTGGGAGGCCCTGGGCGCCCGACGAATTGGCGAACGAAACACGTGCGCTGCGCTTGTGCGGGAGCGCAACTTTCAGAAACCATGCGCGCAGCGCCAAGGCGAGAGCGACATTTCGTCCTGTGACGAACTGGCGAGATGGAGGCCCCAGGAAGCCTCAGGAGGCCCGAAGAGAATCCACGAGGCACTGGGAGGCCCCGGGCGCCCAACGAATTGGAGAGCGAAACATGTGCCCTGCGCCTCTGCGGGAGCGCAACTTTCAGAAAACATGTTCGCGAACGACATTTGGTCCTGTCGCGCGAGAGTGCGCCGCGCCCCGTTCGTGCCACGCATTTCGCAACGCCGACGATAAGAAAGTCCAAGGTGAGACGACACACGTCGACGTTGTATTGTTTTTTGACTGGTCGGATGGCCTCTCCCGCTTGGGGTTGCCCCAAACGTCCGCGCGCGATGTGCGCCGCGTCCTGTTCATACCGCGCATTTCGCATCGTCGACGACAGGCACTGCCATGTTGAGAGAAGAAACAACGACGTGGTATTGATTTTTTAAGGTTCGGATGGGAGGGTCCAGATTGACGGCCGCGCGCGATGTGCGCCGCGTCCTATTCCTGCTACGCATTTCGCATCGTCGACGACAGAAAAGGCCATGTTGAGAGAAAAACTATGACTTTGTATTGATTTTTTAATAGTTCGGATGGGAGGGCCCGGATTGATGGCCGCGCGCGATATGCGCCGCGTCCTATTCCTGCTGCGCATTTCGCATTGTCGACGACAAGACAGGCCATGCTGAGAGAAAAACAACGACTTGGTACACATTTTTTGAGATAGGATGGGACGGCCCGGATGGAACCGCTGTCGGTCGGCCAGAAGGGGGAGTAAGAGTATATTCAAATACGGAAGATGGATAGGAGGAGGAGGCGGAGGAGGAGGAGGAGGAGGAGGAAGAGGAATATCGAGGCTTGAGGATTGAGGATCGAGGAGCAGGGTTCTGGGTCTTGTTCGTCCCAGTGACGCTTCTCGTCGTCACCGCCGCATCCGCTCTGAAATTCGGGGCGGTCGGGGGCTTTCGGATGTTCATTTCTCCGCAGCCGCTTTCGAACCTTAAGCCCTGCACATCCGATCAACATGCTTCCGTCAGATTCTTAGCGCTCGCTGATGATTCAACCCGTCAGACCAGTTGTGGTGGGCGTGTCAAACGATTAGCCCGTCTGACAACGGGTGCGCCACAAAACTGTCTCGCCACGGAAGTGCTTCACCCGAAAGTTGCGGGAACCCACATAAGTCCTGAGGCGCCCCAGGAATGCTGGATCATTAAGGGTGGGCGACAAATCTGCAACTGGATGTCCATAGCACGATCTATTGACAGTACTTTCTGTAGGGGTCACAGGTGGTTACCCTTGGGGTGCAGTCAGCGGGCATGGTCAGGACGAGGAACATCCCCAATGGTGCTGTTGCATCCTTGCATCTTCGGGCCTTCCTCAGCCCTTTCTTAGCTCAGAAAGCTTCAGCTTGGGCGTCCAGGGAGCCTGCATCCTTACCACGCATTCTCATCATACGCGTTGATCGCAGGGTTCGCAAGTGGTTGCCTCATGTCTGGCCCCCCAAGGGATTTTATTGGGTCTCCAGGGCGCTCTCCTGCGGGCCGCTTCCCGCCAGCCGTCTCACGGGGCCGCCGGGGGCGCCCCGAGCGGGCCCCGTCGTGCGGCCAGGGGGCCCACGTTTTCTGGCGTCTCCCTCGAAACTCCAAGATCGCTTTCTTTTCTCATCGCGAGGACAAGGGGTCCTGGGGAACAGCTGTCCTGGAGTTTTTTCTGTTCGGCAGTTTGATTTAGCTTCTGGGGCCCTCGCAGAGCCCTGGGACCGTCAAAACAACGGCTCAAGATGAACAGTTGGTCCCAGGGGAAGCCCTGGGGTTCAGGACTTATTGCCATCAGTATGCTGTCCGTTCCCTCATGAGAACTCGAATCACTTTTCGGAGCCTGATTTCTATCTACATCCATATCTTGGAGCCGGCGTATCTTCCGACAGTCCCTGGGTTGTCACAGGCTCATCCTTTCTTGCGCCCTGGTTGGGAGATCTGGGAACTGGCTTTCAAAATCGTCCCCAGGCCTGTGTCCTGGGGTGCATTTTGGGCGAGGATTTCGAGGCGGATCCAGCCATGGCGACGAGGAGGTCCAAAAGCGCCAGCACGGGGCCAGAGTGCGTAGATGGGGTTGGGGGATCGCGCCGCCCGGCCAGTGTCTCGCCGATGCGGCGCGATCTGCAGCTCGACTTGCTCCATCCCGACGTCGCTGATCCATCAGCGATGCGGCGCGACCCTCCGGCCCCATCCACTCTGGCCCGACTTGGGCGACAGGAGAAGCAAGCGGGTCGGAGCGTAGGCTTTCCGCGGAAGGTCGCGCGTAAGCGCTCTCTTCTCCTCGCGGTGTGCCACGCTGGCGGCCCCTGTCAGCCGCGGCGTAAAGCCGCTCTGTGTTCAGCAACGCTGATTCAGGTGGTATCCAGCCGCTCTGTATTCAGCAACGATGGGATGCGCGAGCGCGATCGGGCCGGTCGTCTGGCCTGGCAGCTGCGTGTCGACCCGCCCGGGCAGCAGCTGAGGCCATGAGGCCCTGGGCTCCCTGGCTCCGCCCTGGCCTGTGTCCGCAAGCGCTGTGCGATGAGGAGCAGTGCAAGGAGCCTGGGATCCTCTGGCCAGAAAACGGCCAGGACTCTCGTCGTCGTCGTCGTCGTCGTCGGTCTCGTCGTCTTAGATGCTTCTAGAACAATTGGCACAGCACCCTGGGAGGGGTTTTGGGAGACTGATGTTGATCGGATTTCGGAAAGTTGCCATGAAGAGTTGTGTGTCTGAGCGAAAGAGGCCATGACTTTTTTACCGGTCTCGGCCTCTCGAGGCTCTTCCAGGCCCTGGGGACGGCCAGCACAAGAACTCAGGAGGAAACGCCAGTCCAGGTGGAATCCCTTCGGTCCAGGAGATGTTCCCTCCAGGACCCCTTTCTCGTGCCCAACTGCGGGGGCGCCAGAGGCCATGCAGCCACCACCGCCAATGGGGTGATGCATGACCACCACGTGAACAGGTCGAGCCGTGGAGCTGCACCACTCTCTCTCTTCTCTTCTGCCCTGCCCCTCCCGCCGGCGTCCCCCTGCGCCTCTTGCTGGCGCTCCCTCCGCTCCCTCCGTTCGGAGGGGCCGCAGGGGCTGGGTGTGCCTGCTGCGGCAGGCACTCGAGCGATGGGAGGTTTGGTCGTTTGCCGTCGTCGCTCCTCTCTCTTTTCCCTTGCTCCCTCACGCTGTGCGTCGCAAAACGTTCCAAAGCGTTCCTTCTCCAGACATCCGACGACGTGATTTTTCAATCCGCGGGCCCTAGGTCTGGACCGCTTCCCCAGAGGTACAGTTTTTCATCTCGGATCCATTCTTGATGGCCTGGGGGGCCCAAAACAGTTTTTGATGGACTTTTTGATGGCCTCTGGGCCCGAAAAGGGCCGCCCCCGCCAGGATTGAATAACATATCCGTAGGATGCTGGGCATCCACCGTCGCTCCCGCAGTCCCGCGGCCGCAACGCGGATGCGGATGCTGCCCAGTGTTTGCTTGCTCCTGCCCCTCCTTCCTCCCTCATCCTTCTCCTCCTTTTCCTCCCGAGAGGGGTATTGCTCTTTCAGTTGTTCGTCCTCTTTCTCCTTCCTCGGGAATCGGCCTGACAAGAGTCTTCACCGATGCTAATGAAAACGTCGCTGAGAAGCCAATCACCTAGACCCTCGATCCTAGATCCTTGGAACCCCCCCAGAGGTCAACGGATGACACCCCAAGAGTTCCCCGGAGGCCTCCCGAGGCCTCGTGAGCACTAAAGTGGACCACGGTCCTCCTCTTCCTCCTTCTCCTCCACCGTCATCATCTGGGAACGGCCGAGCGTGTCAGGAGGAAGACGTTGCCTTCGACGCGTCCGGTCGACATCCAACGAGCTCAGGCGAGGAGCCCGACCAGTAGTAGGAGGCCATCACTCCAGCCGCCCCGCGCAGCGGGAACCCAGCCATGCAGGTGGAGATTGCGTGTGGTGGGAAGCTCAGCAAACGCGTGGCCGAGCGGGCAGCAGAGACCCGCAGCAGCGCCCGAGCTCTGGGCAGGAGGGCGAGCGGCCGCCAGGCCGCCCGCTCACGAGAGCGCGACGACATGGAGGTGGCCGGCGCACAGCAGGAGCTTGCCAGCGGCGGGGCAAGCGCGCGCGCGGACACGAGTTCCGCAGGCGAGGGCTGAATCGTAATAATTAGGATAGTAATAATGATAAAACGAAGAAGAGTGAGCATACGGCTAACACAACTACTAGCAATGATAATGATATGAAGTAGAAGGAGCATAACTCATATTCATATTGATCATATCATTATTGACTTTCGTAGTACTAAGACGGGTAAGACGACTGTTATTAAGCAATAGTGCGAACACTACGACACATACGGATACTAATAGTCTGACCGGTACTTCGAACATTAACACTAGTAATCATAGCCCTTGTATGATGAATACGACCAGCCGTAATAGTAATAATCGTACTAAGCAAAGGACATTCATACGTGTAGTAACATTCACACTCGTGCTAATAGTTATTCACACTAAGAACAAACCTACGAACACGGCATGCCCATAAGCTGTCGGGGCTCCGCGCGGCCAGAGGCGTGGCCAGAGCGTCCCTTGTTGCCTGGAGGGCCTGCCAGTTTTCGCGAGACGTGTGAACTAGGACGCACATGAGACCACTGCGAAGTTGGCCCGCCCAGCCAGGGACGCAGGATTGGTGGCGCACGGACCTTCCCTCCGCAGGAGGATACGGAGAACTTCCTCCTCCTCCTCCTCCTCCTCCTCCTCCTCCTCCTCCTCCTCCTCCCGCTCCTCCTCCTCCGAGCCGCCCCATGGGTGCCGTCCAGAGCCGGGCGGGCCAGAAGCCCACTGCAGGAGCAAATTGGCCTCCTCGGCGCGGAGGCGGCCGCGACGGTGACCCTGCACGTGTACGACCTGGAGAAGGAGGGGGTCGCGGGGGTCCATTTGGGGCGCTCCAGAAAGGGCTTCGCCTTCGAGGGATCGAGGCCCAGGCCCCCCTCGCGTTGTTAAATAATTACCCTGGCGAATGACCCAACCATATGCAGTCGTGAATACAGTCGTTGCGGCTACCGCCTTGAGGGGATCTCCTCATGGGACCAGGAAGCATGCGAAGGGTGGGCCGACATGGGGCGGGGCCGCCATGTGGGCGCTGCTGCCACTGGGGCCTTCGGTGACGCTCCCTATGGGGCCACGAGGCGTTGTACTGAGTGGGAGAGACGCATGCGGGCTGTGTCACTGGGGCCTTCGGTGGAGCTCCCTCTGGGGCCACGAAGCGCCGTACTGAGTGGGCTTGACGCATGCGGGCGGAGCCACTGGGGCCGCCTTCGGTAGAGCTCCCTGTGGGGCCACGAAGCGTTGTATTGGGTGGGGGTGACGCATGCGGAAGCCGCCACCGAGGCCGTCGGTGGAGCTCCCTATGGGGCCACGAAGCGCTGGTGAACCGCATGCGAGCACCGCCACCGGGGCCTTCGGTGGAGCTCTCTATGTGGCCAGGAAACGCCGTACTCAGTGGGCTTGACGCATGCGGGCTGTGCCACTGGGGCTTTCGGTGGGGCTCCCTATGGGGCCACGCAGCGCTGTCCTGGGTGGGGGTGACGCATGCGGGGGCCGCAACCGAGGCCTTCGGTGGAGCCCCCCCACAGGGGCCACGAAGCGCTGTACTGGGTTGGGATGCCGCATGCGGAAGCCGCCACCGAGGCCTATGGGGCCACGAAGCGCTGTATTAGGTGGGGGTGACGCATGCGGGGATCGCCGCTGGGGCCTTCGGCGGGGCTCCTGTTGGGGCCACGAAGCGCTGTACTGGGTGGGGGTGACGAATGCGAGCGCCGCCATTGGGGGGTGGAGGGGATGGACCGCCTTGGACTGTGGCCTTCGGAGCTCTGCATGGGGCGCCACAGAGCGCTGGAGCTCCCGATGGGCCCACGAAGCGCTGTGCTGGGTTGGGGTGGCGCATGCGGGCGGTGCCACTGGGGCCTTCGGTGGAGCTCCTTCTGGGGCCACGAAGCGCTGTACTGGGCGGAGCCATTGGGGCCTTCGGTGGAGTTCCCTATGAGGCCACGAAGCGCTGTGCTGAGTGGGAGTGGCGCGTGCGGAAGCCTCCAGCGAGGCCTTCGGTGGAGCTCCCTATGGTGACACGAAGCGCTGTACTGGGCGGGTGAACCGCATGCGAGCACCGCCGTTGGGGCCTTCGGCGGGGCTTCATATGGGGCCACGGAGCGCTGCACTGGGTGGGGGGATCGCATGCGAACGCCGCCATTCGGGCCATCGGTGGAGCTCTGTCCTGGGTGGGGTGGCAACTGGGGCCTTCGGTGGAGCTCCCCATGGGGCCACGAAGCGCTGTACTGAGTGGGGGAGACGCATGCGAACTCCCCCACTGAGGCCTTCCATGGGGCTCCCTTTGGCGTCACGAAGCGCTGTGCTGGGTGGGGGTGGCGCATGCGGCCGGTGCCTTCGGTGGAGCTACCTATGGGGCCACGAAGCGCTGTACTGGGTGGGGGATGACGCATGTGGGCGCTGCCACTGGGGCCTTCGGTGGAGCTCCCTATGGGGCCACGAAGCGCTGCAGTGGGTGGGTGAACCGCATGCGAGCACCGCCAATGGGTCCTTCGGTGGAACTCCCGATTGGGCCACGAAGCGGAAGCGCTTTACTGGGTTGGGGTGGCGCATGCGGGCGTTGCCACTGGCCTTCGGTGGAGCTCCCTATGGGGCCACGAGGCGCCGTACTGAGTGGGGGGGACGCTCGCGGAAGCCGCCACCGATGCCTTCGGTGGAGCTCCCGATGGGGCCACAAAGCGCTGTACTGGGTGGGGGTGACGCATGCGGGCTGTGCCGCTGGGGCCTTGGATGGCGCTCCCTATGGGGCCACGAAGCGCTGGTGAACCGCATGCGAGCACCGTCACTGGGGCCTTCGGTGGAGCTCCCTATGTGGCCAGGGAGCGCCGTACTGAGTGGGCTTGACGCATGCGGGCTGTGCCACTGGGGCCTTCGGTGGAGCTCCCTATGAGGCCACGCAGCACTGTACTGGGTGGGGGTGACGCATGCGGGGGCCGCCACCGAGGCCTTCGCTGGAGCCCCCCCCAAGAGGCCACGAAACGCTGAACTGGGCGGGTGAGGCGCATGCGAGCACCGCTACTGGGGCATTCGGTGGGGCTCCCTATGGGGCCACGAAACGCTGCATTGGGTTGGGGTGCCGCATGCGGAAGCCGCCCGCCACCGAGGCCTTCGGCGGGGCTCCTGTTGGGGCCACGAAGCGCTGTACTGGGTGGGGGTGACGCATGCGGGCTGTGCCGCTGGGGCCTTCAGTGGAGCTCGCTGTGGGGCCACGAAACGTTGGACTGGGTGGGGGAACCGCGTATTGATGAGGGCAGAGGTAAGGAGGGGTAGGAGGGAGGAGGGGGGAGGAGGAAGGAGTTCGGAGTGATGGACGCGGGGCGCTGTTTCTTCGAAGCGAGGACCCAACACCACAGGATGGTTGGGAATCAAGGCGGAGGTTGTCAGCCAGTGGGCCCCAGGGTCGTCAAGAAACGGCACTGGATGCGCGGCCTGGCGCGGTCGACGTGCCTTCCCCAGCGAACGGCGGCGGGGGGCAGGTGGAAGGCCAGCGGAAACAGGGCGGCCACGCTTGCGGAGGGCTTCCGAGAGTTTCCTGAGCGGCCCACTTGGAGGTTCGAGGTTCGAGGCTTGGTAAGGCCAGGCTTCGTGTTGCGCACAGGAGCCCCCCCCCAGATTGTCCCAGCTGGCCTCGACAGGCCCCCTCCAAGTAGTCTGGGGCGGTCTCAACACCCTCGCGCCGCCTGCGGCGGCGCTCCGTGGGCGCTCTGCGCGTATCAAGGCTGAGGTGTTGAGACCGCCCCGGCTGCCCGGGGTGCCTAGGGTCCTGTTGAGGTCAGCTGGGGCTACCTGGGCAGGCCGTCTGTGCACAACCTGGAGCCTTACCATCGAGGCTCGAGGAGGCGATTCGCCGTCTTGGGCCTCTGGTGGCCCGCTTCTTGTCTCGGGGCCAAGGACCGTCAGGAATCGGTACGGGGTGAAAGACTGGGCGGAGTGGGCTCGAGGTTCCGGGAACCAGTGTGGAGCGGTACACGTCCACCGCCTGGGGAAACGATGGGTCAGGACCTGGGGCCCGAAAGTATCCATATCCTAGCATCCTGAGACGTCGGCATCCCAGACGGTGGATGTACACTCCAGTTTCGAATGCCCAGGCTTCAAGTGGAGCGCACAACAAATTTCTCGATGCGGACATCCCCATAGTACGCCTCATTTTCCGGCACGTCCCGTTGTGAGTGTCTGGTTGTGAGCGTCTGGGTGTAATCGTGAATCCGAGTGGACGGCGGATGCGATGACGACGACGGATACGTTGAGGGACGCCGACGACGACAACTCACAGACAGACAGGCGGTGAGCAGGCCCGTTTCCCTCTCCTTGCTCCTCCTCTTCGTCGTAGCCCCTCCTTTCTCTTCCTCCCTCCTCCCACTTCCCTCCTCTTGCCTCCTCGTCCTCCCTCTTCAGTCCTCCTCCTCCTCCCTGGAGGCCGTCCTTCTCTGTCCTCCGGCGTAAATTACGTTTCCTTACACATAACTTATAACTCCTCCGTGTCGCACCCCGAGGCTGGTTGAAAGGGCGGGCCGGGCGTTTCGCCAGAGACTTCCTCTCCATTTTTGACCCTGAAGCTCAAACATTGACAACAGCTTCACGGTTGCAGGGCGGGCCGCTTCCCAAATGCGGCTCTGACCTTAGCGCAGCGCACATTCGTTTCAGACAATGCACGAGTTTCGCGGATTGCGGGCGGGCCGTTTTCAAAATGTGGTTCTCGCTTTCGCGCCGCGCGCATTCGTTCCAACACGTTGCAATATTTGTACGGACTCAGGACGGGTGGTACGGATTGAGGGCGTTTTTTTGTTGTTGTCCAAATGTGGCTCTCGCTTTAGCGCCGCGCCCATGCGATTTTTAGACAAGGCACGTGGGTTTCAAAGGTTGAGGGCGGCTCCTTTTCAAAATGTGGCTCCCGCATTAGCGCCGTGCACACTCGTCTCACACATTTGCCAGGGCGTCGTTGGTTCCCATGGCTAACGTACCAGAAAGGGTGCTTTCGATCGGTTCAGGATTGTCAGGGCGCAGCAGTTATTCTAACTCGCGGTGTTGAAGTCCCAGGAATGGTGTTCCGGCACAGTTCAGGGTCGCCAAGACGCAACAGTCAGGTTTATTCGTGGCGCTGAAGTCCCGAGATTGCTGTTTTGGCACGCTCCAGGAGCTTCAAACTGTTGTCCCCCAACGGGGCACTTCCCTCAGTAGCAATGAATATTTCTGGGGCCTGTGAAGAGTGAGAGAGAGAGAGAGAGAGAGAAAGCTTGGGGGGGTTGTTCCAACATCGTTGATGAGTCTTGGGCTTGCACTGGTCTTCCTTCCTCATCCTCGTCCTCCCTAATCCTCCGTTCTCGCTCCTCCTTCTCCTCCTTGGCAAGCGTAGTCCTTCCTGGCGGCCGCCTCCCCTGTTCTTTCTCTCCCTCCTCGTCTTAGCGTCTCCCTTATCTTCCTCCTTCATCCCTTCTCCTTCCTCTCGCGTCTTCCTCCGTATTCCTCCGTCTTTCCTCCTCCTCCTCCCTGATGGCCGTCTCTCTCCTTGGTCGACGTGATCACAGGGCTTTGAACGGACAGGAGTCCAAAGTGTAAAACGAGCGCCTCGCTCGAGGTATCCCCACAATCTGGCCACGAACAGGCGAGTGCAACCAACTGTGGCGGCTCCCCCTTTGGGTGATATAACCAGCGCCTCGTTCGAGACATCCTTACAATCTGTTTTGAAAGCCGAGGAGTCCCAGCCATCAAACAGGCAAGCCACTCAAGACATCCCTACAATCTGGCCGCGAACGGGCCGCGGAAGCCAACGCCCCGCTCGAGACATCCTCATAACCTGCTGTGAAAGCAGAGGAGCCCCGGACACCGAGCAAGCAAACCGCTCAAGACATCCCCGCAATCTGGGCCCCGGTGCTGGAGTCAGCGACTCGCTCGAGACATCCCCGCACACCGTTTTGGCAGCCGAGGAGTCCAAACCACCAGACAGGCAAACCGCTCGAGATATTCCCACAACCTGGGTCCCTTGGGGTGCTGAAGCCAGCAATCGCTTGAGACATCGTCACGATCTGCCCTGAAAGCAGAAATGCCTGAGCATCCAAACAGGCAACCGTTTAAGATCTCCCCACAATCTGGGCTCGAACGGGTGAGTGTCATGCCCCTTCCCCGTGACGGCTCCCCCGTGGTGGTGCTCAAACCAGCGCGTTGTCTGAGACACCCTCAACAACCGCTCTGACAGCACACAGGTCTAAGCCACCAAACAGGCGAACCGCCTGCGACATCCCTACAATCTGAGCCCGAACGGGCGAGTGTCATATTCCCTGGCGGCTCCAGCTAGGGAGAGCTGCAAACAGCGCCAAACCTGAGCCATCCTCACAATCCTAGGAGCAGAAGCAGGAGCAGGAGCAGAAGCAGGAGCAAGAGCAGCAGCAGGAGCAGGAGCACGAACAGGAGCAGGAGCAGAAGCAGGAGGAGGACGAGGAGGATGAGGAGAAGAAGAAGGAGGAGGAGGAAGAGAAGGAGGATAAGGAACAAAGGAGAGGTGGTGGATGAAAAGAAGGGGAAGGGGGAACATGATAAACATGACAATGGGAATGATGGAGAAGGAGGAGGAGGAGAAGGAGGAGGAGGACGAGAAAGAGGAGGAGGAGGACGAGAAGGAGGAGGAGGAGGAGAATGAGAAGGAGGAGGAGAAGCAGAAGGAGGAGGAGGAGGAGGAGGAGGAGAAGGAGAACGAGAAGGAGGAGGAGGAGGAGGGGAGGAGGAGGAGGCGGAGCATGATAAGAAGGAGAAGGCGGAGGAAGAGGAGGAGGAGGAGGAGGAGGAGGATCAGGAGGAGAAGAGGAAGGAGGAGGACGAGGACGAGGAGGAGAAATAAAAGGAGACATAGGAGGGTACGGTTTCATGGACATGTGCTTCACAGTTCCTTGTCTGCCCACAGCTCTAGTTTGTCCCGATACTGAAGACTAGCGGCTCCAATTAGGGAGTGCTGCAAACAGCGCCTAACCTGAGCCATCCTCACAATCTGTTCTTACAGCACACGAGTCCGAGCCACCAAACAGGCAAGCCGCCTGAGACATCCCCACAATCTGGGCGCGAGCGTGCGAATGCTATACCCCCTGGCGGCTCACCCCTTGGGAGTGCTGAAACCAGCGCCTGGCCTGAGAGATTCTCACAACCTGCTCTGACAGCAAATTGGTCTTAGCCACCAAACAGGGAAACCGCCTGAGACATCCCCACACTCTGGGCGCGAACAGGCGAATGTCGAGTGTCATACCTTCTGGCGGCTCCCCCTTGGGAGTGCCGAAGCGGCTCCCCCTTGGGGTGTTGACAGGACAGCCTCTTTGGAGACATCCCCACAATCTTAGAGTCTAAAGGTGAGTGCGCCGCGCGTCTGAATGCGAGTGAGCCCGAGTGAGGCTGAGTATGAGTGAGTGCGAGTGTGAGTGGTTCTGAGTTTGAGTGAGGCTGAGCGTGAGTGAGTTTAAGATGAGTGATTCTTAGTGTTGGCGAGTCTGCATATGAGTGAATATGAGTGTGAGTGTGCCTGAGTGCGGGTCAGGCTGATCCTGGGCGAGTTTTAGCGTGAGTAAGTCTGAGTGTGAGAACGTTTGAGGGTGGACAACTTAGAGTGTGAGTGAGTCTGGGTATGAACGTGCTTGAGTACGAGTGAGTTTGGGTATGAGCGTGTCCGAGTCTGAGAGCGAAGGAGGGGAGGAAAGTGAGGGAGGAGTGAGGTGGAGGCGTCGGAGTAATGTCAACAACGCTATCTTAGGATTTGGGGAATCAGTACGGGCGCTCTTGCTTGTTTTCCATCTTCGGCGGGCTGGGGGAGGGGGTGGTAAACGCCCTCGAGTTCAGCCTCTAGGGGCCTTCCTCGCGCCCCAAGACCCGCACAAGATCGATCCGCGTCGAAAGACCAGTCTTGGAGATGGGGCCTGGAGTTTTGTGGCCCACGCAAGGGCTGAAACGCACCAAGGCGTCACAGATCTTAGAAGCCTCACCAGGTCAGTTTTTGACCCAGATTTTGGTTCCCCAGCCAAGCCAGGAGGCCGTGCTTAATAAGGCCTGGCGCCAAGTAGTGTCCCTCGCCCTCTTTTCGAATGCGCGGCGCCCAGTTCACATTACGCGCGACGTGATTACATGCCTTGCGGTGCTTTGTTTGTCAGCTCTGGCAGGATGAAACGAATGCTACCTCGCCCACTCTGGGGGCTGCCAACTGTCGCCATGTTCCTGGGCTCCTGGGAGGTACAGCGGAGCGCGGGGCCAAAAGGACCACAACTAAACCTCGCCTCACTTGGGCGTGCCGACTGCGCAGGTGTCACTATTTTCGTGGGCTCCCAGGAGGCCCAGCGGAGCGTGGCTTCAGGGACCACAACTAGACCTCGCCCTTCCTAGAAGCTGTCAGCTCGGCAACCCTTGCCACTTTCGTGGGCTCCTGGGAGGCCCAGCGGGGCGGGGTACTAAAGGGGCCACGGCTTGGTAACCGTCGCCACCCTCGTGAGCTCTTGGAAGGTCCAGCGGAGTGCCGGCTGAAAGGGAGGTCGCTTCGTGGGGGCTGCGAACTCGGCAATCGTCGCGATTTTCGTGGGCTCGTGTGAGGTCCAGCAGAGTGTGGGCCTCTAGCTGGCCCCAGGGCTGCCAACTGCGCAACTGTCGCCAATTCGTGAGCTCCTGGGAGGTCCAGCAAAGTGTGGGCCTAAAGACTTTCGTGTTCTCCAGGGGGTCCAGCTGGGTGCGGGTTAGTGATTCAATCGAGACCTCGTCTCCCTGGGGGGTGTCACTTGCGCACCTGGCGCCTCTTTCGCGAGCTCCTCAGAGGTCCAGCCGAGTGCGGGGCTACGGGGAGGCACAAACAAACAGCGCCTCCCTGGGGCTGCCAACTGCGCAGCCGTCGCCGCTCTCGTGCGCTCCTGGGAGGTCAGCAGAGTGCGGATTTAACGGGCCCAAAGTCATCCTCGCGTCCCTGGGGACTGCCACCTGGGCAAGCATCGCCATTTTCGTGATGGTTTCACCGGGTCCAGGGTATATCTCGCCCTCCCCAGGGGCTGCCAAGTGCGCACTTTCGCCGGATTCGTGAGTTTCTGGGAGGTCTAGCGAGGTGCGGGCCTTGCGCGGACCCAAAGGAGACTTCGTTTTCCCTGGGGCATGCCAACTGCTAAATTCTCGCCACGTTCGTGGGCTCCTGGGTGGTCAGCTGACTGTCAAGACTTCACATAAGCTCCTGAGAGGTCCAGCGGAGTAGGGCCAGAAGCTGACAAACGTGGCATCGCACTCCCTGGGGCTTTCGTGAATCTCTAGGAGGTCCAGCGGGGTGCGGGCCGACCCAAATGAGACTTCGCCCTCACTGGGGGCTGCCATCTGCAAACGTGTTGCAGCTTTGGAGCTCCTGGGAGCCCCAGCGGGGCGCGGGCCCACGTAGACCCAAACGGGTCCTCGCCCTTCCTATGGGCTGCCAGCTGCACAACCGTCGCCACGTTGGTAAGCTCCTGGGAGGTCCTGCATTCTAGTGGTCATCGCCGCCCTTTCGCCATTTTCCATCCGCTTCCTATCCTCGGTGTGTTAGTCCCGTCGGGCGTGCAACGCATAGACCACCGATGTAGTTTTCACAAAATAGTCGCGTCCCTTGTCATATTATACTCCGTTCGGGGTCAGGCCCATTGTTTTTGTTCTCATCGGTTCGGGTGACTTCGGTACGTCTCTGAGTAATTGTTAGCCTGCGCGTTGGGCATTGGACAGATGAACTTCGATGCTTCGGTTTCTTGTGACGGCATCTGGCGCGCAGCTCCCCCTCTACCATGATCAGCATCATCGCCGTTGAAGGGCTTGTCAATGCCATTCACACTCTGGAGGCTGAAGAAGTTTTGGCCGTGCACGCTCCATTGCAGTCGCGTTCTGCATGTAGAGATCAGCGCCGTCGTAGTCATCGCCGCCAGATCCATGCTGGAGGGGAGGCGGGCACCATGAATGCCCTGCTGCGCCCGATGGGGACGGGCGCGTACCACTGCGGCGTCCAGATCTTCGGGTGGGAGTGGAGCTACGGCAGCTCCTCTGGCGGCGGGTGCAGCAGGACCCCCGCTTAGACCACCAGACAAGCCGCCCTGGCACAGGGGCAGGCCTTCAAGCGCAGACCCCCCGTCGGGAGCATGCAGTGCACACAGCAGGATCAAGGAAGAACGGATGGCTGAGGTTACTTAGGGCAAGGGGAGGCTCGGCCTCCTCCTCCTCCTCCTCCTCCTCCTCCTCCTCCTCCCGCTGCTCGTCATTCATGGGACAACGTTGGTGGCCAACGTCGGGGTGGGTGGGGGTGTAGCGGCTAAGTGGGGGATGCTGCGTCGACCCCGAATCGCCCATTCATCGCCGATAGGGGCCCGATAGCGCAGCCCGCCCAAGAATGCGTGGGTTCGCTATCGGGGGCCAGTAGCCGATCTGTAGGTCGACTGTAGGTCGATGCTTCCCCCCCTGAGCTGGTGCCCGCCTAACGTTCCCCCTCATCCTTATGAGTCCCCTCCTTTTCAGACGCGAATGCTTCCCAGGTCTGGAAGATGTCCCCATGTGAAGTGTTAGATACAGGCTGCTTTGGCATATGACGGGCTGCGTCTTCTGCGCTCTCCAGGCTGAGCCATCTGGTGGCCATGCGGGAACAGGGTCACCTTGCGGCCTCTCAGGGGCATCCTGGGATCCCTGGGGTCACCTTCGGACATATTGAATGATATTTGGGCTCTCCTGAGGCCTCTGGAGCCCATCGTGATGAGGACATCGCCGGCAAACTACATCGAACTACACATTATGTTCGACGTTTTTTTGTCATGCCGGGTGCGTATTTGGCTCGTCTTGGGCAATCAGAGATTGTTTTTTTGACATTCTTCCGTCGTCCTGGACTCTCATGATCTTCAGACCCCTGTCTGGGCTTCTCGGGTCCCTGTTGGTCCTCCTGGCCGGGTGGGTGGCGGGTCCACGACAATCCTGGGGCAAAGCGGCAAGGAGGCTGAAGGACTCTCCCCGTTAGTTTGTTTTGTCTGAGGTCACGGGGGTCCCAGCAGACAGCAGGAAAAGAGGCAGGATTGGAGAGACACACGGCAACAACAAAAAGACAGGCACCAACGAGAAAGCACGGCAGAAGCCCAGCAGCAAGGTTCACATCTTAGCGCCCCCCAAGAGGGCTTGCGTATCTGTCTATCTGTCTGTCTGTCTGTCTGTCTGTCTGTCTGTCTGTCTGTCTGTCTGTCTGTGTGTCTGTTCTTCTCTCTCTCTCTCTTTCGGGGGCGGGGGGGGGCGCCGAGCTTCGCGATCGCACGCCCTCCTCGCTTCCTCAAGGAAGTTCGTGAAGACCTGCTTCTTCACGGCAGACCTCGGCTTCAGTGGATAGGGCGCTCAGAGATGGTCTCGCCCTCGAGGATAAAATTGATGACCTCTTGCCTTTAAGAGGAAGGCTGGTGGATGGCGGCGGAGGTAAACCAGGGAGGCCCCGCCAGTGGAAGGTGGGTGGAGGCTGGCGGGAGGAGAAGGTGCCCCGACCCTCCAGGGCGGCCAAAGTTTCGAAACCCGTTTTTCCCTACCTAGGCTCTGCCTAGAAGGGTTCTTACTCTCTTAGCTTAAAGAGGCCGGGCAGTGTAAACCGCCCCGGGCGGTTCCCCCAGTCCCCGCCCCGCGGTTCCCCCAGTCCCCTGGGAGTTTTAGCCTTAGCTTTAGTTTTAGCTTAGCTTTAGCTTTAGCTTTAGCTTTAGCTTTAGCTTAGCTTTAGCTTAGTTTTAGCTTAGTGTTAGCTTAGCTTTAGCTTAGCTTTAGCTTAGCTTTAGCTTAGCTTCAGCTTAGTGTTAGCTTAGCTTTAGCTTAGCTTTAGCTTAGCTTTAGCTTAGCTTCATCTTAGCTTTAGCTTAGCTTTATCTTAGTGTTAGCTTAGCCTTAGCTTTAGCTTAGCTTTAGCTTAGATTTAGCTTAGCTTCAGCTTAGTGTTAGCTTAACTTTAGCTTAGCTTTAGCTTAGCTTTAGCTTAGCTTTAGCTTAGCTTCAGCTTATTGTTAGCTTAGCTCCAGCTTATTGTTAGCTTAGCTTTAGCTTAGTGTTAGCTTAGCTTTAGCTTAGCTTTAGCTTAGCTTTAGCTTAGCTTTAGCTTAGCTTTAGCTTAGCTTCAGCTTAGCTTTAGCTTAGCTTTAGGTAAGCTTTAGCTTAGCTTTAGCTTACCTTCAGCTTAGCTTTAGCTTAGCTTTAGCTTAGCTTTAGCTTAGCTTCAGCTTAGCTTCAGCTTAGCTTTAGCTTAGCTTCAGCTTAGCTTTAGCTTAGCTTTATATTAGCTTTAGCTTAGCTTTGCTTAGCTTCAGCTAAGCTCCAGCTTAGCTTTAGCTTAGTGTTAGCTTAGCCTTAGCTTAGATTTAGCTTAGCTTTAGCTTAGCTTCAGCTTAGCTTTAGCTTAGCTTTAGCTTAGCTTTAGCTTAGCTTTAGCTTAGCTTTAGCTTAGCTTTACTGTTACTGCTAATGCTGCTTTCCTAGGGGCTCCAACTCCTAGGTAGGGTCGCACTGGGATAATAGGGGCTACTGTTTTCTCACCCCGTCCCTCCCTCTTCGAGGTCATTGTTCTCCTCCCCCTCCTCCTCCTCCTCCTCCTCCTCCTCCTCCTCTTCCTCCTCTCCCTCTGGTTTCAGGCTATCACAGGTGTGCGCTGCAAGTGACGAGCTCAGGGTGCCCGTGCGTGCCTCATCGGGTTGCGTCGCTTTGAAAACATGCCCCGCCCCTTAAGAAGTGCCACGGTGTTGGAATTTCCAGGTCGTCTGGAGATGGGCACCGCCAGAGAAGTCGGCCCGTCTCTCTGTCATCTTCGGGAATGCCCGGGCCGGCCGTTTTCTTTTCAAGGGTGCACAGGATTCGGCCCGATCTGAAGCCCTGTAAGGGCTGGCAACCGTCGTATTGTTTTTCTCGCTTCTCCGATCGCCGCCGATGTCTAGCGTGTTGTTTCTGTGGCCCGTCTCACTGACTGTGTTTCTTGTCTTCGGCTTATTATATCATGTTGGAGTCCCATTCCCATCAATTGGAAAGCTGGCAGCTTCCATCATCGGGTAATCCCACCAGGAGGCAACACATGCAAGTGCATCCTGTGCGTCCAAGCTCAGGAAAAGGACAAGCGAGAGCTTCAATGTGAGCCTGCGTCGCTTATCGGAGCAGCGCGTTGAATTTCACAGTGTGCAGTTCTCAAAGCGCAGTCGCTGGGCCTTTTTCTGCTTCAGCGTCTTCTGGTAACCGTTTGCGAAAGTTGCCTGGCCGTCGCCTTCTCCTCCCTCTTCCTCCCTACAACGCTTTCGCGAGTGTTTTGGTTTGTGGTGCCGCCTGTCCCAGAAAGGCGACCTCTTCTCCTGTCATTGGACAATGGAGGCCCAGACCTTTTAGCGAAGCCCTTGTCTCCTCCGTGTGTTTTGCAGTTTTCTAAGCGCTGGTTAGGCTCTCGTGCCTTGCACGCTGCGGGGCAACTTTGCTATGGTGATGCGCAGTGCTCGCGCATTATGCATTCTTCGTCGCCTGTTGGGTTCGAAGCACGGACAGAAACATAAGCATGCACTTTTTGAGGTCCGCGCGGATTTCTCGGGTCGGCGCGGCGCCTCCAGCGCCGACCCCAAACAAGCCGTGCGGGTCTCCGGAAGCTCTTGTGCAGTTCTCTGTTGGTTCTTCCGTGGACCCTGCCGAGGTGAGTCAGGACGCTGAGGTAAGGACCGGCTTGGGCACAGGAGGGGCTCTGATTTTCGGGCCGTTCCTTGGATCCAGGTCGCGGAGCCTGTTCGTGGCCGAGGCTTGCCGTGGCCAGACATGCCCCTTCGTTCGTTCCTTATTCAATGTTCCCTATGCTAGCACGACGAGTGTAAACGTCTTGCCTGTCCCAGGACGGGGATCTTCACCGTGCGCCCGGGCTCCTCGGGCCAGCTCGTGGACTCCATCGTCCTGGGCAGCACGCCGCTGTCGCAGCACCGCTTCTTCAGGCGCCGCGCCTGGAGAGGGGATGGGTGCCCTTTGATCAGGGAGGCTTATCGAGCTGGTCTGAGCCACAAGTCCCTCTCACCTCTCTTCCTCCGTCGAGTGAAGTTGGGTCTAAGTGATCGTGGCGCCTCTGCATGCGTGTGCTGTCCCGCATCTTCTCCCATTTCCTTTGCATGACTTCCTCCACAGACGGGCACGTTCCAAGTCGCTACGGAACGGAACCAGGCGTTGAATCTGGGATACGCAAAGTTGCCTTTTCGCTGCGATGACCTTTGGCGCTGGCCCTACAATCCAGACGCTGAAAGAAGGACTGCTTTGGGCTCAGGAGGGGCTCTGTTTTTCGGGCTGCTTCTGAGATCCAGGCCGGGTAAACTATTTGTTGCCAAGGCTCGCCGTCGCCAGAAAAGCCCTTTCGTTCCTTATTCAGCGTTCCTTATGGTAGCACGATGACTGTGAGGGGGCGCCCGTTGGCGCCCCCCTAGCTTTGCCCACCGTTTCTACAAAAGGTCACCCTTGTTAAAGGTCACCCCCACAGTCAGTGGACTAACTTGCCAGTGATGGCTTTGACGAGGCGTGTCCGTCTAATGATTATAATTGGTTTAGGCCATGGTGGAGGCGTGGCTTGCTCAAGCTGCCCACTCATGCGACAGCCGTTAAGTCCGCCCGCCCGACCGACGGGCCGCCCGACCGACCGAACGGATCACGACCGACGGCGACGACCAATGAATGACAACGACGGCGACAACGACTGACCGACCGAACGGATGATCGAGCGACCCAGCGGCCGAGCGACCGAGCGACCGACGACGACCATAAACGACGACGGCGACGACGACCGACCGACCGACCGATCGACAGAGCGATCGACGACGACGACCGGCCGACCGATGGGCCGACCCAGCGATCGACGACGATGACGACGTCGACCAACGGCGACGACCGACAGACAACGACGACGACAACGACCACCGACCGACCGACCGACCGATCGATCGACCAACGACGACCGAACGACGAGGGCGACGACCGACGGGGACGACCAACGGACGATTACAGACAGACTGACCAACAGCTACGAACGACGACGACGAGGACAATGACGGACGGACCGACCGACCGACCGACGACGACGACCGACGACAACGACGGACGCCGTCGAAAAATCCTAAAATGCCATATCTAGAAGGCCGACCGCGACCAGCCGAGGTCAAACATGTTTGAATGCGCGGGCCTCGGTCAAATTCTACAAGGGAGAGCTATGAGGACGCGGCTCTTCCTCTCCGTCTCCCCCCCCCGGAGACTGGGGTTCCGCTTTTAGTAATGTATTAAGGGTGGCGCCGTTGCAGGCGAATGTGTCACCTCGGGCTCCGAATCCTGCGAAAATCTTTGGTTTTGGGACCACCCGAATGAACCGCGAATGAACCCCCGAATGCAACAGAATGTGCCTCCGACTGACCCCGACTCAACCCCCCAGACGTCGTCGTCGTCGTTGTTATTGGGCCGTCGCCGTGGTTCGTCGTAGTGTCGCTAATCGTCGTTCGTCGGTCGTCGTTCTGAGTCGGTCCGACTGTCGTCATCGTCGTCCTCGTCGTCGGTCGTCTTCGGTCGTCGTCTTCGGTCGCCCCGTCGCCGTCGTCGTCGTCGTCGTCGACGTCGGTGCCTTTGTATTGGCTTTAAGCAGTAGGAGGAAACCCTGTCCAGTCTGACTCAGACCAGAGAATTGGGGAGCGCGAGCTGTGTCAAAATCGGCGCGGGTTGAATATTCCTGAGTGCATCGCGCTGGCGCTGCTTTGCTGGAGCCGACTCCATGGCGCGCTCTGGCGGCGTGACAGTGGAGCCAAAACTGCTAGCATGACGTTGGACCCCACATTTGTCCGATATCTTATGCTCCTTACAATTGCACTACCCACAATCGTCCACTAACTGTAGGCATAGCCCGTTGAGCTTGGGCCCCTGGGCCTTGAAACTCCCCAGGCCCCATCGCGTCGCGAAATGATCGTGACGGAACGCTTTGGGCCATTTTCGTCGACGCGGAGCTTTCCTGGGTCTTGGGGCCGTCAGCAACGACTCGGGGTATAAAAGTCCGCTCGGGTGAGAGGCTCGAGACCTTGGATATCCACGCCTTGGACAAATCACAACGTCTGGGGACAGGGTCTGTCCCCGAAGCAGGAAGAGGAGGAGGAGCAGGTGGAGGAGGAAGAGGAGGAGGAGGACAATAGCAAACCCAAGATGCATCCACGATGCTGCAACACACGCTTTCGTCGTAAAGCCCGCTCATCATACGAGGAGACGGAAGAGATGGTGGTGGGGGAGGAGGAGGACCAGGGCAAACCTTATATGCGTCAACGATGCTGCAACACACCCTCTTGTCCCAAACCTTCCCCCCCTTCCTCATAACAGGAGGAGGGGAGGAGGACGACGACCGAGTTTAATCATACGGTCCGTGCTTATGTCTAGATGCAAAGTTTTACGTTCTGAGAGTGCTAGTGGGGCATCTATATATATATATATATATGTATATGTATGTGTGTGTACTGGCATGCATATGCCAATCTTTATATGTACATGTTTGTACGTTTATGCCGGCTCCGATGCACTTGCATATATATATATACATAGTTATGTCGGCTTGTAGGATTGCTAATATCCACAGTTGCGATTTGTCGTTTACAAAAAACAAAACGTGTCTCCATACGCCTGTTATGTTCTCAGTTGTGCATGTATGTATATATGGCCACAGTGCTAGTTTTCGTTTCTGCTTACCTCCAATACGTTTTGATCCATCTGTATACTCATAGTTATCATTGCATGTGTATTTGTACGCGAATTCGCATTTGCATGTATAGATGTATGTGTTTTATTTTTCAATGTTGTCGCTATGTGTATGTAAGATATGTTATATAGGTGTAACGGTATGTGTATGTACTGCCATCGATGTACATTCATGACCATACCTGGTGCTCTCTATACATTTATTCATGCATGTTCGTATTAACTCAGCTGGGAGGGGCGCGGAAGCAGTGGTGGAAGGCTGGCGGAAGCCAGCATGCTAGGTTCCATGAGGTTGGAGTGGTTTATACGTGATGTTTCCGGGTAGAAAGAGGCATTGCAATTACCCTTGCCACAAGTACCAATGCAACTATTATTACTCTAGATATTATTTCTGCAACTACTAGTTTTAGTCTGATTACTACTACTTCTATTATTAATTATTCGCATTCTCGCTACGAGTACTATCACTACTACTGCTACTGATACAGCAACCACTACTACTACCACCACCACTATTTCTACTAGTGCGAGTTTTCGTTCTAGCACAAATACTCGTATTATTAGCATGAGTATCACGGGTGGTATTACCAGCTATTGCTGTTGTCTTTTTTTTTTTTGAGTTCTACTACTTCTTCGAGTCATTTAAATATTACTACCAGTTCAAGCATTACTACCATTACGACCACTACTACAAAGTTTATTACTATCATATTTTCGTGCTACTGCACGACAACTGCCACGACTACGATTATTACTCCGGCTATATTCGTATTCCTATTAAAATAACTTCTACTACAGCTATTTTTTATTAGTACTACTGCTACTGCTGCTACTACTGCTAATGGTTCTGGGGTATCTACTATTACTACTACTACTACTGCTGTCGCTGCTGCTTCTACTACTACTACTACTACTACTACTACCACAGCTTCCAGTACTACTAGTATTACTATCTGTACTACTACTACTACTACTACTACTACGACTACGACTACTACTACTACTACTACTACTACTACTACTAGTGCTAGTACTAATGCTGTTACTATTATTGTTCTTACTATTCTATCTACGACTAACATTACTACTTCGGCGATCTTCGATTACGATAGCGATTACGGTTGCGGCGATGACGACTCCGACAACGACGGTTTTTTAGTACTACCACTATTACTAGTAGTAGTAGTAGTAGTAGTAGTAGTAGTAGTAGTAGTAGTAGTAGTAGTAGTAGTAGTAGTAGTAGTAGTAGTAGTAGTAGTAGTAGTAGTAGTAGTAGTAGTAGTAGTAGTAGTAGTAGTAGTAGTAGTAGTAGTAGTAGTAGTAGTAGTAGTAGTAGTAGTAGTAGTAGTAGTAGTAGTAGTAGTAGTAGTAGTAGTAGTAGTAGTAGTAGTAGTAGTAGTAGTAGTAGTAGTAGTAGTAGTAGTAGTAGTAGTAGTAGTAGTAGTAGTAGTAGTAGTAGTAGTAGTAGTAGTAGTAAGTAATCGTAGTAGTAGTAGTAGTAGTAGTAGTAGTAGTAGTCGTAGTAGTAGTAGCAGTAGTAGTAGTAGTAGTAGTAGTGGTAGTAGTAGGGTAGTAGTAGTAGTAGTAGTAGTAGTAGTAGTAGTAGTAGTAGTAGTAGTAGTAGTAGTAGTAGTAGTAGTAGTAGTAGTAGTAGTAGTAGTAGTAGTAGTAGTAGTAGTAGTAGTAGTAGTAGTAGTAGTAGTAGTAGTAGTAGTAGTACTCGCAGGTAGTAGTAGTAGTCGTAGTAGTAGTAGTAGTAGTAGTAGTAGTAGTAGTAGTAGTGGTAGTCGTAGTATGTACTACTACGACGATTATTTCTACGGCCACTTCTTCTATATAGTCGTATTAATACGACTATCGTTTGACTACCACTACTACTACCACTATTGCTACTATTCTTTTTACCGCCACCACCGCCACCACCACTACTACTACTACTACTACTACTACTACTACTACTACTACTATTATTTCTACTACTACTACGTCTAATACGAGTACTACTATTATTACTACTACTACTACTACGACTACTACTACCACTACTACTACTACTACTACTACTACTACTACCACTACTACTACTACTACTACTACTACTACTACTACTACTACTATTACTACTACTACTACTACTACTACTACTACTACTACTATCAGTGTTATGTGCTCCTCCTCTTACTCTTATTATATTACAATTACGTCCTGTCGGCAGGCGCTCGGGAGCTTTGTCGGAAGGCTGGCGGATGCCAGAATGTTAGGTTATATGAGAGAGGTCGATTGGTTGGTTGGCCGGTACATGCCCGCCATATTTTTGTTATTGTTTTTTGAAGAAACATTTTTCATAATCGTTGCATTCATCGCCAGTGTGAATGCAACGCTCTTGGCCGACACTATATCGACAGCTTTGTGTTTGTATTATCTTCTCAAAAGCGCAATCGTACATTGAGTGAAACCGGTATTTGCGAAATTGTGTTGTGAAAGTTGTGCGGCACACACATACTTACATACAGTTATGCTGTCCTACATGTAGTTATGTGTTCCGATGTGCTCATTGCAGAAAAGTTTACGCATGATGCCGTGAGTGCTCATGTAAAAGGCAGATCGGCGCATGTACGGGGTGGCGGAAGGTTCGCGGAAAGTTTCTGGAAGGAATGCGGAAGCCAATCGCAAACATCAATTCGGCGCATGTGCGGGGTGACGGAATTAAGGCGGAAGGTTCCCGGAAGGAATGCGGGAGCCAACCCCGGAAGGTTGGCGGAACGGTGTGGAAGTAAAACATGACATGAACATAAACGTAAACATTACATGTCTGATATATGTCACATGGTAATGTGTAAGTATGTGTGTGTATGTATGTCTGTATGTATGTATGTATGTATGTATGTATATATACATATATATGTATTATCATACGCACCTCTCCGAGGGAGTAGCCGCGTCGTTCGCGATTTTTCTGGCCGTTTCGCAAGGGACATCCTCGACATTCTGAAAATCGGTGGCACCCCTTACACAGATCGTGACGTCAGGATCCAAAACACACATTGGAATTTCAACATTCTAACATAAAACCTTCAAAAACACATATTGTAATTTCAATGATTTGGACCCCGATCCTCAGAGAATGGCGGTTTCGCCTGAGACATCCTCCCAACATCGAGCCCCGACGTACCTTCTGGTGCCCCAGACCTCGCCTCGGAGCCTCCTGGGGGTCTCCTGAAACCTCCTGGGGCCTCCTGGGGCCTCCTGCGGCCTCCTGGAGTTTCTTGGGGCCTCCTGGAGCCTTCCGGGGTCTCCTGGGGCCTCCTGAGGCCGCCTGGGGCCTCCTGGGGCCTCCTGGGGCCTCCTACGGCTTCAGAGCTACATGCGCACACAGAGACACACATCTCACCCAACACATCACGCGCTAGACAGACATAGCACACAAGTGTATACAGTTGTGTGTAGATGTACATGCTTTCATCCATGTGTAGTTGTATGCATATGTGTATGTGTATGTATATATAAGCATACACATGTTTATGCAACTCTATAAGTCGATGTCTACGTATATGTTTTTAATGTATGTAGGTATGTAGATCTGGGTGTTTTACAATTTGCTGCTTATCATAGTCGGAGATACGGACGCACTCAGATGTCAGTACATCTCTCTCAAAGCAGTTGCCATCCCACGCGCTTGTGCTCAACATTCTTTGGGAGCCCAGGCTCCCATGGATTCCCTGCTCGCCGAGCTCAGCAGGGGTTTCTCGACCGCTCTCGCCGTTCGCTTTTCCGCAGTTCCCTGTCCAGACTGCTCCTGCAATTGCGTGCCCGTGTTCTCCTGCGCCGAGGGCGCCGTGCCGCGGGAGCTGGAGGCGAGCGGGTCGTGGCCCGCACCGAAGGCCTGCCTCGTCTTGCTCGGGCTCGGCGCAGCCCTGGGCGGCGCAACGGTGCTGTGCGCGCAGCTGTTGCGGAAGCCTGCCTCGTCGGCCTCGCCTGCGCCGCCGGGCCCCGCCCCCGTCCTGGAGGACCTGTCGGGGGAGGCGCGGGCGCAGCTGGCGGAGGTCGCAGCTCGGCGGTCCGCTGCGCTCCGTGGCTGACGCCGTGGCGCACCGCCAGCTCGACACGGCAGGGCTTGCCGAGGGCGGCTTCATCGCCGTCCGCTATCGAGTGCGCGGGCGACGGTTCTGGCACCGCAGGCTGGTCACGGCATTGGCGCCGGGGGTCTCTGTCCTCGGGGTCCTCGCTCCCGACCGCGACGAGTACGATGAGGACGTCGACGATGTCGCGAACATCGCTGAGTGGACGATGATGCTGCCGCAGGGCGCGACTGGGGCCCCAGCCGCGGTCATGGCGCTTGACGAGGTCTACGACTTCCAGCACCTTCCGCTGCCCGCCGCGGTGAACGCTGCCGGGCAGCGTTTGCCGCCGCCTGCGCGAGGGCCGGCGCTGTGCCCGTCGGGCCCATCGTGGTCAACCTCGCTGGCTATAGACCCCTGGGATGGGGGGGGGTGAGGCCCCTGTTTGATGGACTTTTTTTTTTTTTTCGGTATCGTTTCTGGGTTTGGGGGGTTTCTGTGGTTCCGCGTTTGGCTCAACTGGTTTCGCACCAATCATGATCATCACCGCCATCGACATTAGCGTCGCCATTGTCACTCCATCACCATAGTTACGTCCGTCATCACGGTCATAGCCAATGACGCATGCGCCGTCATCGTTATCATCACCATCGCAATCATGATCGCCATCCGTAAACATTTTGGCTCAAACTGTTCTGTCATGCAAACCCCCATCCTCATTCCTCGAGCTGCTTCTACACAACCGTCGTTCAGAACGGGCCACGATAAAAAGCGAGTTCGAAACAAGTTGCCCAAAGTGTTCTTGGCTGTTTCTGGAGACAAACACATATTGGGGGCTTTCCTCCTCAGCAATGTGTGCGAAATGGGTTCTGGTCGACTTGTAGCTGTGGTGGCAGCGTGGTGCCCGCTGAGATCGCCCTTCCCGACCACGACGGCGTCGTCGAAGTTTGTGGGCCCTATATATTCGTTTCTTCCAGATGTGGAAAAAGATATACGATGCGCTCCCGCGCAGATTGGCTCAACTTTAAATGAACACTTCAGTGGGTTCGCTCACTCTTCATGGCGGGCGTGGAAACTTGATAAAGACGCAGAGTTGGCATTCAAGAGTCCCAGTCCGCCTCAGCATTTCTATACTGAACGCAAATATTTGTTGGGCATCGGCGTGGCAGCCGAGAAAATATCGCAGATCCCGTTTGCATCTGAGGAGCCAGGCGTGCTCGAGGACGTGGCCCCTCTCGAGGACAGCGACGTGGCGCCTCTTGTGTCTGGGGACTCCGCGGCGTCGTCGCGCGCCGCCAGAGGTGGTGGAAGTGGCGCCGCTCATGCTGCGCTTGATCACCTACACGGCATTGCTCGAGCGAGGTCGGGCGGCTTCGTGCCTCACGTGTTCGACCCCTTCTATCTCATGGCCGCTCTCCAGTTGAAACATCATTCGAAGCAGGGTAGGTCCCTGAAGTCTGTATTGCACCATGCTGCACCGTTCTTCTTCGACCAGGGCCAGAGTAGTCAGTTTCAGCATGGACTCAGAGAGTGCGCGTTGCCGACGGAGTCGACCATGCGCGAAGCGCGCGTTCAGCTCGACCTCCTTTCTTCAGGTTACGCGAGATTGAGACAAAAGGATTACGTCAACTGGATCTACTTGAACCCCGACAGCTCTCCACAGCTAGGATGGAATTGGCTGGTGGTTCGGGAAGATAAGTTCTCTTGGCCCAAAGATGATAGTATCGATGCGATCATGGCTTCGAACTTCAACTCCAAGATGCAGTCTCGGACCTGCCGTTTGTCAACGATCGGGAGAGGCCACGGTGCGGCTATATTCAAGTCTGTGAGCCTCGCTACGTTGCACAAGTGCGAGTGCTCCAGCATCGAGGACTATAATAAGTTGAGGTCTGAGGTGTATGGAATTTGCACAGATCAAGGAGTTGAGTCAGCCGTTGTCGATATCGACACTCTTGAGCCCAAGGGCGACCGCTGCGAGAACTACTCTGACAATCGTGCCCGCATGTACCCGAACGCCCTGGGCATGCCAGAATCGTTGCACATCATGTTCAACGCGTTACAACATGCCGTTGAGAAGTTGCCATGCCACAAAACTTTCATATCAGATTTACGGAACATAGAGAATTTTCTGGCTGATAGATCGTTGAGGCGGTTGTTCGTCAACACGTGCCTCGACGATTCTTTGAAATCCAAATTCGACCACTATTCAACAGTGCACATCAGCTGGAGGTGGGAGGTCCTTGCCAAGGCGCTCACTGAATTGATCCCTCGCTTTTCAATTTTGAAAGATCGCTTTGACTTGGGAAAAATGAAGACATCTCCAGAGCGGCAGGTAAAGACACACGTGATAGACGATGCGTACGCTTCCCTGCAGGTGCCGCACTTTTTAAAATTCTGTATCATGGTAAAGACCAGCGGCAACACACTTGAACGGTTTGCGAGTCGCCTCGAGGGTTGCGAGTGCCACGCCAGTCTTTGGAAGTCCCATAGCAACCACAAGAAGAAGACCCGACTGTTGGAACGAGACACTGGTTTCGCACATTGCTTCATGAAAGGGGCGGCAAGCATCGTGGTGGTTTGCCGAAGGGCTGGGCCAGTGCTTGGAGGCGCTGAAGAAGTGCGACTCCGACGAGTTGCAACTGGCCATGGGCAAGCTCGACTGCGAGCCACGGGCGCAACTCCTTCGACTCCAGACCCAATTGGCGGATTCGTTGGTCGAAGAGCTTTCTGATAAGTTCGCGTTCAAGGACGTGATCCCATATGCGGCACTCAAGATCTACATGTGCGAAATTCCTGGGGGGAACTTGCATTCTGCTAGAATGGACGCGGCAGATTGCGCGCGTCAGTACGATTCAGCAGTGGAGGCTGGCAGGGGGCATCTGCTCCATCGAGTCGCGCACTTACTTCTGCGACCTGGCACGCACTGCAGGAGCGAGCTCGACGATTTCGCCAACGGGGTAGGGCACAGCTTGCGGGACTTCACGCACCTGCACTCCATGATAATGAGGTATGCTCTGATACCGATCGTGGGGAGGAGAGTAGAGGGGGCCCATGCTATCATCAGGCGCCTCGGCCTCATCGCGAAGAACATGTCACCTCCGTGTATTTCTGCTTCCAACTCCGAGGCTGAGCACTTGGCGCGCTTGGATAACGATGCGGAGTTCAAGCGGTATTGCCAATCGACCTGGAGTTCGAAATCTCTTCTGAACGATTTGTTGAGCTTAGTTGTTCCGGGAGATGCATTGAAAGAAATGAGCAGGAAGGACAAGATCAACCGAGTTTACCAATGCGACCTCGCGTCGGAGTTCAAGGACCTCAGCGTTGAAAGGCAGTCCCATGACACGTGGAAGCTGCTAACTCAACACCTACGGAGTGCGCATCCAGGCTTCCCATATTCGTGGAAGATCGTTGTCACGTATTTGAAGGAGAAGCTCTGCTCTGGTAGCATATTTTCTTTACCGACGAGCTTGTACAATCTTGCTCTGGTCGATCATGGGCCCGATGAAATCGATATCTCTGCGGTTAACCCTTGGGAGCAAGCCATCGATGTTATCGGCCATGAGCCCAGCGAGTTCCAGTTCGATGCGGTCGACTCTGTTACATTTTTTGAGGTCGTGAACCCCTGGCCCGAGAAGCGGAAGCAGATTGCGTTATCTCACATTATCGAATGGGGCGATCGCGTCAACGTCAGGAGGCGCCTCACCTTGCAGACCGACGTTTGTGACAGGAGCGTTACGCTATTGTGCGATGCGGACTATGCTGAAACGCTCCACATGCGCCCGTTAGTTCACGACTTGAAGCGGTCTCTGCTGTCTTTGTACACGTGGGCCGTGATGGGCGACTGGTCTGCTTTGGGAGTGCGCCAGCGGAATCTGGGAGAGCCCGAGCACATCGTTGCTGCGCCTCGCAGCCTGGTGATTCCCAGTGCGAGTGACGCGTTGGTTGTCTCGTCGCCCGCCGAGGTCGTCGCGCTCCCCGACGTTGGAGAGTTGGCTCTGGAGCGGTATGAGGCTACGACCAGCGAGAAGATGGTGGCATGTTTAGGCAAACTCCGAGACCTACAGCATGGCGACGACCGAGACGACGATCCTGTCTGGGTTCAGTACACGGCGCTGGAAGGCGTGCACATGAACACGATCCAAGATTTGCACAAGGCTGGAGCAATCACCGCCGTGAACGACGAGTTCGGGGAGTTGGTCGTTTGTCTGCAAAAGGCTGGTACTATGTTCAGGGCAGTGCGTAAAGTTGGCAGGCCGCTGCAACTCTGTTTTGTGGATAGCACCAAGTTTGCCAGCAAGCTGGACATGATATTTGCTCTACTTCGTGGTGGATGGAAGCCTGGTGCCACTAGGCCGTTCAAGATACGTGGTGCGCGCAAGTTCATGTGCAATAAGGACAGGCCTTTGAGTTATTTTGCATGTCTTCTCCAAGTTGACATGCTATTTGAGAAGGGGTTGAAGCAGCTGCCGCACGATTTGAAGGACTACCATTACCAGTGCTTCCTGCGTCTTGCTGGACATGCACTGCTCGCGTTCGAGGCCGACTTGCAGTCGCATGGCCTCGAAGAGTGCAGGCGCTTGCTGCGCGATGCCCCCGAGGCGCCAGTCGACGCGCCTCCCCTGGAGGACGACCTCGAGCCAGCAGCGTCGGTGGAGGTACGACCGCCTTTGCTCGCAATCTCTTTGCCAGACACCGAATGGAAAAGGTGCCACGTGCGTTGTGAAGGCGGCCGCTCTTTCAAAGTGATATATGACCATTGCACTGGCCACGATGGGAAGCAGAGAGGGTACGTCAATTGCAAAGATCCAAACCATGAGAACTGCTTCAAATGGAGGCCTTGCGAAAATTTCCAAACGAGAGAGGAGCATTGCGCTTTCTTGTGGCGTTGGGCGGCCGACTCAGCGAGCTTCGCTGGGCGAGGGGGCCACATGGCCCACCTTCCTTCGCAGGCGAGCGTTGCCGTTGCACTGCAGACTGTGTCCTTGATTGGCTTCTGACAAAAACAAACTATGAAACCGAGTTACACTCCTTCATAATAACTCCCAGTGGCACCCCGTCGCATAGAGACACTGCCAGACAGCAAATAGCAACACATGTGTATTTCAGTTTTGCGAGTTCCTGAACTATTTAGAAAAACCAGGTCGGTTTCGTTCGCTGGTTTCGTTGTCTGGACCAGCCGTGCACCCAGGAAACGCCATTGCTCGCATCAGTGATGTTGGATTCTGGCTCGTGCGTTATTTGGTAGTCTGATCTCGAACCTCAACGCTTGCCCTTCGGCAAAACTCAAATTGCAGTGTTATTTACATAACTGATTTGTGAGCACATCGAGATGTCTTTTGGATGTCGATATTGATTCGCATGTTACCAGATTTGTGAGCACGTTGGGATGTCGTTGGGATGCGTTCCCAGATTTGTGAGCACATCGAGTTGAGTCGGGCCCTAATATGTCTGAACGACGTTTCTGTATCGCATGTATGGATCAAGCCATATTGGCGCATCTCTGGGCGTGTTGATTTGTCTTCCAGTTCGACTTGAGCCGCTCATTGCGAGCGCATACGCAACCTCGTCGCTCCCATTGTGGACGACACTACCTGAGCAATGGATCTTGCAGGCCAAGCCTCGCCTACTGTGGTCCCACATGCTTCGCCGACTGGGGAACGCGATGCGGACGTGGCCAGCGTCGCTTCTAGTCAACTCGGATTGGGCGCAGAGGCTGCGACCTTGGGCAAGTTTGGCCAGGCCATGGAACGCCACTCTGGTGGAGTGCTCGGCGGCAACTCTTTGGTGGATCAGGCGCTGTCGCAGAAGTCCCTTCTCGCGGGAGTTGCAGCGCCGCCGACGCCTTCGACTACACCTGGTGGCGGCGTCGCCCAGCGCCCCAGCCGTGGGCAAAGCAGCCGCCCCAGCAAGGTCGGCTCACGAGATATGTTCTGGTGCTGTAAGTGCCATCAGGAGAGGCCGATGTCACTTTGTGTTTCGCGCGGGACGCAGCAAATCTGCGATCCAGACGTCAAGGCCTACAACAGCCTCGTTGCTCGCTGGAAGGGCAAGCCATGCTTGCGCAAGTGGTGGCATGGCAAGTCGGAGGCCGATCAGGCTGAGTGGTACCGCAAGCAGCAGGCGCACGTTCCAGGTACGAAGCGGAAGTTCGACGAGATGGAGGTGTCCGAGACGAGCGCCAGGATGGCCGTGAAGGACGACGTCAAGGAGGACGACTGGATCCCGCTCAACATCTACCAGCGGCGAGTGGCCATGGAGGGCGTCAGCAATCCTGATGCCGCCCAGGAGTTCAAGAGGATCGTTGAGCGCGGCGAAGGCCTCTGGCGCGCTGGCCAGTGGCACGTCCACGACTACCAAGGTTTCAAGATGCACACGGGCATCCGCGAGGCTCAGGGCTATGCCACCACGGGCAAGTACGCGGTCGCGGGCCGCGAAGACCTCGCCAGACGAGTGGAGGAGTGCTCCACCAAGTTAGACAGCCAGCTCCTCGCACACGAGCAGTCCTTGAATGGTTTCCAGGCCGCCCCGTCTCGCGATGCTCCCAACATCCAGTGCCCCACGAACGGCGGCGTCACTCTCCCGCAGTGACACGACCACTTCGAGGCCGGCATCCATCGCGAGGCACATTGGGTAGGCCTCAAAGGGAACTCCCCCGCTACTTAGCCTCCTGCCCATCCGCCTTTTCCTGGGGATTCACTGGTGTACGTTAGTGGCAGAAAACAAACACGACACTAGTGTTCAACTAGTGTTTGACTCATGTTTGCTCATGTTTGGTGTTTTCTGGATCCCATGGAAAAGCGGTCGCATACTAAACACACGAAGTGAAACTAGTGTTCAACTAGTGTTTGACTCATGTTTACTCATGTTCGGTTTTTTCTGGGATCCCCTCGAAAAGCGGTCGCATACTAAAAACAAAAAGCGAAACTAGTGTTCAACTAGTGTTTGACTCATGTTTACTCATGTTTGCTTTTTTCTGGTTCCCATCGAAAAGCGGTCGCATACTAAACACACGAAGTGAAACTCGTGTTCAACTAGTGTTTGATTCATGTTTACTCATGTTTGGGTTTTTCTGGGATCCCCTCGAAAAGCGGTCGCATACTAAAAACAAAAAGTGAAACTAGTGTTCAACTAGTGTTTGACTCATGTTTACTCATGTTTGGTTTTTGTTGGATCCCCTCGAAAAGCGGTCGCATACTAAAAACAAAAGACGAAACTAATGCTCAACTAGTGTTTGACTCATGTTTGCTCATGTTTGGTTTTTTTCTGGATCCCCTCGAAAAGCGGTCGCATACTAAAAACAAAAAACGAAACTAGTGTTCAACTAGTGTTTGACTCATGTTTGCTCATGTTCGGTTTTTCTGGGATACCCTCGAACAGCGGTCGCATACTAGAAACAAGAAAACAAAACTAGTGTTCAACTAGTGTTTGACTCATGTTTACTCATGTTTGGGTTTTGTGGGAAATTACCGGAGTGACGTTCGGGGCAGATACCGAAATGTCAACTCGTGCTCAAGTCGTGTTTGTCTCATGTTCACGTGTGTTCTTGCGTTTGCGATGCGTTGCCCGCCGCAGGCAGCGGCGGCCGAGCGACTGGATGAGGCACACAAGGCGATGGCGGCGGCAGACGACATGGAGGCCGCTCTGGCCCGCCAGGGGACTGGGGCCATCGCGGTCGCAACAGGCGAGGCGGCGGACTCCTCGAAGTCGAGGGCCTCCCTGAACGTGAAGAGGATTGGCGTGCTGGCCAGGGTCTCGACCGCCGAGGTTAAGCGCACGGAGAAGATCGCGCACCTCCAGACCCAGATGACCCAAGCAGACGGCAAGTGCGATAAGGTGGTGAAAGCGAACCCTGGTAGCGAGGAAGCGATCAAAGATCTTCGAGCGGAGATGCACGACTTGAACTCGAAGGCCATCGAGTACGTGAACTCGGACTACAAGAATATCCTCGATAAGATCAAGGTCGACGTGAATACGTCCACCACTGCCGGTGCCTTGGACGTCGCCGCGGCCTCCCTCGTCACCCACGCGAAGACTCTGAACGCGGGCGCGGTGGCAGATTTCGCAGCGGTCCTGCGGAAGTTGACGGCGCAGACTGCGGGGCTCTCGCGGGCCAAAGGCGACTCGTCCACGAGGAAGCAAGAGAAGGATGCGTCGATGAAGACCGCCACGAGGCCTGTCATGCACACCATCCTGGTTGATGACACCGCAGTAGACTTCCACAATATCGCCGAGTCCATCTTCGAGGCCAAGGGCGGCTTGCGCCCAGCGGTTGCCAACGCTGCCAGCGGAGAAGCCTTCGACAAGATCAGCAGCCTGCCCATCGTCAAGAAAGGGATGAACGCGTGCCGTTTGTCCTTGAAGACGGGCATGGGCACGGTCAGCCAGGTCCTCTCAGCGGGCCGCCTTGCGGAGAGAAAGCTCGACGAGGCAGTGCAGGGGTGCTTCGGCCAGGACGTCCGCACGAAGATGCCCCTTCCGAAGGCGGAGTGGGCTGATCAGGTATTCAAGTTCGAGCTGCTCGCGACTGGCGCCTCTGCGCTGCTGGTCAACTGGGCACCGTACTGCATGATGAGCGCCGTCGTGATGATGGCAGGGAACGCAGCGCTGGCGGGCATCAAGCCCGATCGCGTGCCAGGCAGCACGTGGGCGGAGAAGCGGGACTACCTGTACCAGTGCGATAGCTCCCGCCTGATCGCGCTGATCCACGACGGCGGCTGGTTCTGCGAGTTCGAGAACGGCAACACCGCGAAGGGCCACTGCATGATCGTGATCCCCTCGGGCTTCATGATTCTTACCGCCGCCGACGGTGCCACCATGCTCAGGTGGCCGCTCGTCTCCGACGATGCTGACAAGCAGCGCGTCAGCAGTGGCCTGCGCAGTCTGCTGGACTCCTTCCCAGAGTTTCGCGCCGAGGCGCTGGGCCACACGCAGATGGCCAGCTATCTCGACAGCCATCGCAGGTGATGGAAGTTCAGCTTGGTGGATGATCTAACGCTGGTGCCGCGCCAGCTGCAGGCTTGTGTGGCACGACGCTCTTACATGTATTGTGTCGGCATTTTGGGTTTGCCAGCCGATTGCTTGGCAGTGGTTATACATTACAATCTGTCGGTTTCATGTTGCAACATATGTGCGTCTAGACTTGCGAGGAAATATGTACACTACAGATTCTCTTGGACTCTCCGTCCATAGTGCGCCGCTTGGGGACAGAAGTCTGCGCCTGGGATTCTGACCGAAAACGTACTGGGAGCTTTCTTGTTTCATGCGTTCTCTTGTGAAGCTAATGTGTTCTCTAACTGCAAGTTGCGCTATCCCACGTCTCCCCCGTCGTCGTCTTGGCGTCCGCTCACGTGCAATGCATGGTCTCTCGGCCCTGCCGTTGTAATCCTAGAGGCTTTCGCCGTTCCGCTGTCCCACTGTGGGGGATGTGGGCGTTCAATCACTAGTGCGATCGCCTGTGCAAGTACAATCATGAGTATGCGTGCAACGATCGGCACCATCACAATCAGCACGATCACCCGTGCAATCACCAGCGCATGGCATGTGTAAACGCACGTGCGCGCACGCCAGCACACGTGGACTTACACGCGCAATAGTTTTTTCATCAGCGACCCCTCGGGGCCCGAACGGTTGATCAACAAACAGAGCTCATACGTGAGCAGCAAACGAACCAGTTCCTATAAATGCGATTCTCGTTGGCCGAAGAATGAATTCCTATCGAGGCGCTTCTCGCTGGCCGAAAAGCTTCACCGATAAACGCCGTTAGAATCAGAGGCGGGCGATCTTGCCGCCGCGAACACTCGACAGGCCGACGTTGCCCGTAGTTTCGCGGTATCATGCTCGCGGCTCGTGGGCGACGTGGGAACTGGTTCGTGGTTTGCGGTTCTCTCCCTCTGCATTTTCCTGGGGGGCCTCACCCCCCCCCCATCCCAGGGGTCCACATCGCTGGCCGTGCCGGGGCGGGCGTCCCAGTGGTCGCAGCCCCCGTGGCGGCTGCTGCCGCTCCTGTTCCTGCTGCGGGTGGCCCTGGCGGCGGTCTTGCAGGGCCGGTGGCCGCGGAGGCGCTCCTGGCGGACCTGCCGCGGCGGCGCCTCCGCCAGCGGCTCTGGTGCCTGCGGCCGCGCCCGTCGCCCCTGGTGGCGCGGTCCCTCCCGCGGCGGGGCCAAGCGCTGTCGCGGCCCCCCTGGGCGCCCCCGTGGCCCTGGTGGCCCCGGGTGTCCCGGGCGCCCCCGCCGCCACGGCCGCGGCGCCAGCGGCCTGCGTCCCGGCCGCGCCTCCGGTGGCGGGGCTTGGCGGGGCCCCCCGTGTCCTCGGCGCGGCGGTGGACGCGCGCGGGATCCGCCGCGTGTTCCGCGCGGCCGTCGCCCAGCTGGCGGGGCTGCCCTGGCCAGACTGGCCCGTGCGGGGGCCGCGCTCTCTGCGCTGGGTCGCCGAGTTCACGGCCCAGCGGGGCGGCGCTCCGGCGGCGCATCGCCAGAGGTGGCTGGCGGAGACGGGTTTCGAACCCACCGAGTCGGGCGTCGAGGTCCACCAGATCTCCTGTCTCGTTTTTGAGACTGCCCTCGCGTGCGACCAGGCGCGCGCCGCGAACCTCGCTCACTTGGAGCTCGTGGCGCGGTCGATGCAAGAGGGGAGGTGCCGCTTCCTGCTCGAGCCCGACGACGCCACCGTCGTCGACGGGGCCACCGTGATGGGCACCTCGTTGCTCGCTGGCTCGGTCTGCGTCTGCCCCGCGCTCCGCGACTACCTCGCCGCGGAGCTGCAGAAGGAGATGGCTGTCGCTCAGGGGCGGAGGAAGGCGCGAGAGGAGCGCCCCCTCGCCGGCGGGTTGCCGGGCGGCGGGCGCGGGGGGGGCGCGGGGGCCGTGGCGGCCAGCGGGGCTGAGGCTCCGGTGCCGCAGGCGGCGATGGCTAGCGTGCCCTCGGGCGGTCTGCCTGGTCAGCCGCCGCCCTCGCCCCCCCCGGGCCACCGCGGGCGCCGGCGTCGCTGCCCGCGGCGCGGGCCCAGCCAGTCAGCTGGCGCGCAGGGAGAGGCGCCGCCGCAACCCCCTTCCCTTGCTGTTGCTGACCACCGCCGACTCGATGGCTGGTTGCTCCAGCGCCCGGCAGCGCGGACGGACTGGCCGCGCTCTCAAGCGCGCGCTCGGCCGAGCCAACGCTTCCGTGCAAGCCAAGAATTCTCTTTGCGGCGATTCGTCCTCGCCCGAGTTGGCCGCTCTGACTCTCCGTCAGCCGCGTCTGGGACACGGCCGCCTCCCTCGGCCGCGACCCGGGCGAGTGCCGCGACGACGTGTCCGACCCCAACGGTGCCCTTCGGGAGCTTCTTGCTGGGTCCGCGCTGTGCCCTGACGGCGGCGGGCCCGCCGCTCCTTGCGCGCCAGTCCTCGTCTCCTGGCCTGATGTGTCCAAGCTTCCGGCACCGCTCCCTGGGTGGCCGGGGGGGCAGGGCGCCGCCCCGCTGCGGGGGCGGGGGCGCTATGTGCTTCGAGGTGCGGAGGGGGCTCGCCGACTTCGGGCTGGGGCCTGTCCGCGCGGGCCCTGCGCGGACCTGCTCTCGTTCGATCATCTGTTGAGTGTGCTAAGTTCTTGGGC